TGCAAACCGTCCTTCGTTCACTGTATATAATTGGCAATATTTGTTTGCCTACGTGTTGCAAAAAGGTATACCTCATTATTGTCGCTAGGAGCAACCGTTTGCCAGAAAAATGCTATTAAAAGACAATTTAACTCAATTTATCTTGGTTCAAAATTACTTTGTTAGGGTGCAATTAAACAAACTGCATTACAACTACAAAACAATCAATAAAACAAAACTGAAAATAAGTTAATTTTATTTATTATGCAAAAACACTAAATAAATGCTCAAAATAATCATCATCATGAGAGATGTATAAAGAGATTAATACGACGAAGAAAATTAAACTATACTCTTTGCATCATTTCTACATTTTGCTTTAAAATGTTCATTGAATTTTGAATGCATCTCCATAACTACTCTTAGGCATTTATAGGTCTGGAGTAAACCACTGATTTTAGAATACCCCATAAAAAATATCTATTGCAAACGAGGTGGCCGGTTAGTAGGAGCATCAATAGCTCTACCGATCCATCTGTTTGGATATTGTTGGTTTAAGTGGCTGCGGATATTTATAGTGCAATGTGTGGGTGCTCCATTGTGCATAAACCACATATCCCTGCGAAGGGTAAAGGCAGTTCATCTAATCATTCTAGCAATATTATTTGCAAATGTTCTAAATAATTTGCACCATTTAAGTAAGATGGTAAAATGATGGGACCAATGATGCAATTCTCAATGATTCCTACCCACATATTAATACTAAATTCATGCTGATGATGCATTCCTTTTATTGCATATTTTATCTAAATAACTTGCATAATGAACATATTTATTCCTAAAGCAAGCCTCTTAAGTAAATAAAATATTTTTTACAAAATTAATGTTTTGGGCTCTCTGTTCGGTAATAAATTGGCAGAAACCCAGGCGATGATCAGTATCTCCTAGTAAAAGAGTGTGCACTTGTTGAATGTGATATGTTTTGCAATTAAATAATGATTCAGCAGGTAAAGCAACGCTTTTTATTATTTTTAATTATATGTGCATACATATCACAACAACAACTGTCAAACTCAACAACTTCGGAGCCATTTAGCTTCTTGTACGGCAGATGACATTGCCATATATTCTGCTTCGGTTGTATTTAAGGCTACTGTGGGCTGTTACTTAGTGTTCCAGGAAATTGGAGAGCCATTTTTCAAGAAAATATAACCCGTAACTGAACGCCTATCATTCGGATCGCTTCCCCGATCTGCATCAAAGTAACCAATTATACCTGAATTATCAATTTCTGTTTTTCTACTGAACTCCAGTCGGTAATGTATTGTTCCTTTCAAGTATCGAAAAATGCGCTTGACTGTAGACCAGTGAGCCAGACCAGGGTTTTGATTGAAGCTACTAACACAGCTAATTGCATAACATATAACCGGTCTCGATATTTGTGATGCAAACAACAAACTACCAACTGCCTCTTGATATGAAACATTTTCCATTTTCCTTTTCCATTCGTCCCCAATAGGTAATTGTTCTTTTATTAACTTTTCACCTGCAGATATTGGGCTACCCACTGGATTACTTTGATCCATATTAAATTTTCTTAAAACCTTTTCTAAATAATCTTTCTGATCTATCCATATCTTTTTATTAACTCTATCTCTGGTTATTTGAAATCCTAATATTTTCTTCACAGGTCCAAGGTCTTTCATTTTAAAATTTTTCATTAATTGATCCTTTAATTCTATTTTAGCATCTCTGATTATATCGTTTACATAAACAGCTAAAATCAATTTTATTTCATCTGAAACTTTGTAGTACATACAAGGATCGGTTTGTGATTGCTGCATGCCAATTTTTTTAAAAAATGAATCTAACTTTTGGTTCCATATGCGACTAGCTTGTTTGAGACCATATAATGACTTCTTTAAAAGACAAACCTTGTTAGTGTTATCATCACATTCTGGTGGAGTCATATATATATAAATAAATAAATAAATAAATATATATATATATATATATCTTGACAATTCGCCTTGCAAAAATGCAGTAACTGCATCCATTTGATCAATATCGAGGTCATTTTCTGCTGCAAATGCAAGTAAATACCTTATTGTATTGTATTGATGACAGGTGAGTATGTTTCTTCAAAATCAGTGCCCTGCTTTCTTTGAGCACAGCCTTTTATTACTAAACGAGCTTTATACTGAAGTGAATTTTCATTCTGGCCTTTGGTTTTGAAAACCCACTTGCAATTTAATGGTTTTTTTCCTGGAGGTAAATCGACCAATTCCCCAAGTTCTATTTTCAATGAGAGCATCATACTCGTTTTGCTTGAAGCCACTTGTCCCTATCTTGTCTGCCAAGTTCTTCTTCAACATCTAATGGATCACAATTTGCTTTTGTTATTACTGAATATGATACATAATCTTGCATTGCCTTAGGTTTTCTTTCACGCTGAGCTCTATTCATTGGAACTGCAGCCTCTGCCAGCATTTCTCTTTGTGGGACAAAATCCGAGTCATGAGATATTTCCGAGGATATTTAATTATTTTCTTCAGTAAAATCACCTGGACTTTCACTTCTATTTTGATTGCTTTCAATCTGATCGTTCTCTTCCATTATAGAATCTTGTCTTACTTCACCTCATGTAATAAGGTCAGGTAAATCAATAAAATGTTTATCTGATTCACGTGTTGATTCCTCTAATAGAGTACATCCTTTCTCATTTTCAGCAAACTGAACGTTTCGAGACACAAACTCTATATTTCTGTTTGGATCGTATAGCCTGTATGCCTTTGACTCTAAACTGTAACCTACAAAGATACAAGAAAGTGTCTTAGAATCTAGCTTCTTTCTTTTCTGGTCATCTATATGTGCATATGCTTTACATCCAAATATTCTAGCATGCTTTAAGGTTGGTTTCTTATTAGTCCATAATTCTTCTGGTGTTTTCTCTATAGATTTACTGGGCTAGCAATTAATTAAATAGACTGACGTGTATACAGCTTCTGCCCAAAAAACATTTGGTAGGCAAGCTTCAATTAGAAGACATTGAGCCTTTTCTATAATCGTTCGATTAAGCCTTTCTGCCTTGCCATTTTGCTCAGGGGTATATGGACAGGTAATCTGATGTTGGATACCTGCAGTCTCGAGTAAATTCTTCAGTTCGGCTCCACAATATTCGCCCCCATTGTCAGTTCGTAGACATTTTATTTTCTGACCGGTTTGGTTTTCAACAAAACTTTTATAGATCTTAAAACATTCTATAACTTTACTTTTGTTTTTCAAAAAATAGACGGTTGTATGATGACTGTAACCGTCAAGGAAGGTAAGAATATACTGCGAACCAGATAGAGATTTCTCTTGCATCGGTCCACATGAATCCAAATGCACCAGCTCCAAGACTCGTGAAGATATCTAGTCTCACTTGCATGAAATGGTAAACGATGACTTTTTCCCAACATACAAGTTTCACAAACAAAATTTGGTTGAAAATTGTCTGAAAAGTCTACTCCATATACAAGTCCATTTTTCAACTTGTTTAAACTAGCAATATTTACATGTGTCAAGAGCTTATGCCACACAGTACACTGTTTATCTGCATTACTGAACCAAGCGGATACGTTAATTTGCATTAGAACTAAATCCAATTTAAATAGTTTTCTAAAGTAGCTGTAGTAGTAAAGTTGATTTGCAGAATTATAAATCTTGGCACCTTCAGAGTTGAAAATAATAGTGTTGCCTATGTTTACTATTTGGCTAACAGATAACAAATTCACCTTTAAATCTGAGACAAAATATACATTGTGCACTTTGATGTCTGATATTTTGTTCCTTCCAACTAACAGAGAAAGTTTGACATCACCAAGAGATTCTGTATATATTTCTTCATTATTTGCAGTGGTGACAGTCAATTTCGCAGACTTTCTTTCAGTTTCTAGTGCATCTCGATTTCCTGTCATATGAGCTGAACAACCAGAGTCTAAATACCACAAATTATTGTTTTTATGTTGCACCGAGAACATGGAGAATAATGCGGAGTCAACCTGCTTTGACCTCTTATCCATATTGTCCTTTTCACATCGACTTGCAAAGTGTCCATACTTATTGCAATTAAAACAATGTACACCCTTTTTTTTTCTTTAGAGCAAACCACTTGATCTTAATGGACTTTGAACTAGTAGCACCATACATGACCTGACCTGTTTTCGGGATATATAACTACTGATATGTCTTGCAATAACTTGGTTTTGATTGAGTCTGCCGTAACTGAAGTACCTGAACTTTAAATGCCCAATATTATTGGCTTGTAACTTTCTGGAAGACCTGCTAACAAAATCATGCCTATCCATTCAACAGTTAGACATATACTTGATAATTTATGTGCGGTGGTAATGATTGTATTTACATATTTTTGTACAGAATTACTATTTTCTAACGTAGTAGTTATTAAAACACGCAATAAACCAACGGGTCTCGTAAGGCCTGAATCCTGAAAAGCAGCTTCCAAGTTATCCCATGCTTCCTTGGCAGTTTTTGTACTTTGGACGTGGACATAATTTAGTGGATCAACAAGTAATATAATTTTCAACCTGGCTTTATTTTTTTATTGTCAGTTTCTGTACCTAGCACTGAATCCCACAGTTCTTCATGTTCCAAATACGTCTGTACAGCGAATTTCCACGAGTCGTAGTTTTCACGGCCCTTGAACTTTTCAATCGATGGCAACTGATACGACATTTTTCTGTGTATGAGAACTTATGATGAAGAAATATCTAATTTTACCATATATTGAAACAATTCAGAAGATGTGTGGGGTCTGGGCCCATAACCTTTTGCAATTAAATAATGATTCAGCGGGTAAAGCAATGCCTTTTTATTATTTTTAATTATAAGCGCATACATGTCACAACAACAACTGTCAAACTGAACAACCACTAGTCTAAATTATTATTATTTCAAATTTATTTCAACAATATGGATGAAACAGTTGCTCTCTAAAACTCGATTAATCACATTCTTACATACTCCTAATTCTAAACCTAGGCGTTTCGTACCTGTTGTTGGATCTTCTTCAACATGTTCCAAAATCTCTTCTTTAACACCAGATGTCTTTACCGTACGTCCCTGTACATAATCAGCAGCTACGGGAGCAAACTGACCAGTTTCACGAAAACACTTCTCAACAGGGGGACCGTCTAGCCGGGTGTCTTGGCCGATGGAGTTCGATCGGCCGAGGTAAGCATCACGGACACAGGCTGGAACTTGGATGGGTGATCTAAGGCAGGCTCGGGGACGTGGCTGTGGCAGCCTACCAGAAACCTGGGTCGCTCAACACCTTCTGCCTGCGTGTGGTCCCTGATAAAATGGTACTGAGAATAGAGCAATAAATCTCCACCAAGCCACCTATGTAAATAATTACCATAGGATGGTTTGAAGAAAAGTACTTGAGTAATGAAGGGGTGTACGAGGGGCCTAATAAGGCCTAAGTGCCACGGTGGAAAAGCAAGTTTCCACCACCCCCCAACATACATACATACACTTCTCAACAGCTGCAAACATTTGATGTTTAGTATATGTTAATTTGGAAACCTTTAACACATTCGCGAAAATTCCCCGACAATACCGAAAAACCAACAGCATGTCAGTCATTTCTGCATTACTGTAAACTACAGTCAACGTGAACAGATCAATCTATGATCAGATTTTAATGTCTTGTCAATAAGGATATTTGACATTGACTAATACTAATTATTGTGAACAAACACGTATTAGCAGGTAAGTTCTTATCTTTAACTTTATTTTGTACCATAGAATAAAATAATGAATTAATAGAATGATAGACTGTGACATTCACCTTAAAAAACCACTGTATACAGTTTGATAACGGCACATTTCTATCAATAAACAGTGAAGAAAATTGAAAATAAATTATTAACTTTGACACCTTGTATCTCCGTAATTATCAACTTTTCGATGTATTTCACCTTGAGAATTTGTGATAGAATTTTGTACTGACCTTTTAGGGTTACCCTGTATGTATAGAAAATATAGCTTAACTCTGCTATTGAAATTTATTAATATCTCACTTGTTTTCTTCATTTGCTTTTTTTTCGTATTCGTCTGCAATATGTATAGTCCAGGTATAGACCTTTCGGTGATTTTACCAGAAGCCAAAATAACTGAATTTGCTTTTTTACTATTAAATTGTTTGCCTTTACTTTCATATAATGGAATTTCTTCTTGGGGTACATAACCATCTTTAACTCTCCTTGCTTTTCTCCATGTACCATCTGGCCTTTGAGACGCAGGTATAAACTGTTCGCCTTAAATTTTTTTTGTAACATTACAACTAATTTTTTATATACATATCTTGAAACTTCTTACCATTTTGACTAACGGTATTAGCAATATGTACGGACATTTTCTATTTCAATCTAATTTTTTATTCAAAAAATAAAAATATAACGAACTTAAATTTTACTTCACTTAAAAGAAGAAATTTTACTGAAACGAAAACAAATTTAGATTAGGTATATTTTCAATATTTTCGACAGCCATTCTATTAAATAGGTACAAACCATAGATCTAATAATACATGGATTATGGATTGAGTCAAAACCGACTTTTGTG